TTTTACGACTTTAAGATTTTACAAGGTCTATGACATCTAGTGAATCCCCTAATTGTGTAAACGTCAATCCATTATATTGTTATTATTATTATTATTTATTCATTCAATTAAATGCACACACTTTTTGTCTTATTGTACATAGATAATGCGTCTTTTGCTAAATAAACGCAATAGCCCCAGCTTTGATCATGTACTAACAGCCATCACGCAAGTTGTACGCCTCGATACTTATGTACGTAAAGTATTTACCCTCTCCGGCTGTCCAGTTGTGCAGCTAGCTGATTTTTTTGGTCCCGATGACGTTTTCTTTGCCTATGGCACAGAGAGGGTCAACAATCCAGATGATTTTAAACTCGAACCCGACGAACACAAAGCCATACAAGCGATACGGAAGTCGCTACGTACAGCAGGAACAACATGCAAGGGTCCCAAACCGAAAATGCCCGTAAAGAGTAAAAATCTGAATAGCGCCAAGCATCAACAAAATCACCAGCAAGAGCCATGTGATCAGATTGTCGACGAAGATTTGACAGCGTTAAATGAGAGCGGTATAGATGCAAACGAATTGCCTGGAGTTATACGTGAACGTTACGCATTGGGACAGATTATAGGTGATGGTAATTTTGCCGTTGTACTGAAGATCAAAGATCGACAGAGTGGCTTGCCATATGCGCTGAAAATTATCGATAAAAGTAAATGTAAAGGCAAAGAGCACTATATTGATGCCGAAGTGCGTGTGATGAAGAAGTTACAACATCCACACATTATTTCATTAATCATAGATGTCGATCAGATGTCAAATATGTATTTGGTGCTGGAGTACGTAAGTGGTGAGTCTTGTGCATGATTTTAGTGAAGAAATCTTTTTGATTTGGGAATTTATAGGTGGTGATCTTTTCGATGCTATAACACGCGTAACACGATTTTCCGAAAATCAATCACGAGTGATGATCAAGCATTTGGCCTCAGCGATGGCCTATTTACATTCCATGAGCATTGTGCATCGTGACATCAAACCTGAAAACCTATTGGTAGATATTCTATCTAGGGTATTTAAAAAATGCCGTAAAAGTTGTTCTTTATTTTTCAGGTTGAGTTAGACGCTAATGGCTGTGTAACCGAGCTAAAACTGGCTGATTTTGGTTTGGCCTGTGAAGTGACTGAACCATTGTACGCCGTTTGTGGTACGCCAACTTATGTTGCACCAGAGATACTAATGGAAACAGGCTACGGTTTGAAGGTGAATTTTAAAAAAAAAAACATGTTATTTTGCACTCATTTCGTTTAGGAAATAGCTATTTGAAATTATATATAACTTGCTAGCTATGCTATGCTAATCGCACATTGAAAAAAAATAAGGAACTAAACTTTGATTACAGCTTTGTCTCTAAATTGAATTTTTAGATAATATTTGATATATTTTTTGTTATTTATTTTAATGGTTATTTATGAGTTGTCGGATTTTTTGAGTTATGACGCACTTCCAGTAAACAAGCGAGTTGTAGAACCCTATTTTAAAGTAATAATTATAAAATTAACTTCATTAAAGATCGATGTCTGGGCAGCTGGTATTATATTATACATCCTGCTTTGCGGTTTTCCACCTTTCGTTTCACCCGACAATCAACAAGAACCTCTATTTGATGCCATTATATCTGGAGTCTATGAATTCCCGGAGCCCTATTGGTCAGATATTGGAGATGGTGTACGTGACCTAATTGCGAACATGCTGCAATCGGATCCGGAAGTGCGTTTCACCAGCGAGGACATCCTTGATCACTACTGGACTCTCGGCGAAAGTAATGAATACAGCAGTTGAATTTGTCGCCTAAATGTGGTAGAAAAAAGGAGGGGAGACGTAAACAACAAAAACAACAAGTTTTGCATTATAGGACTAAAACTAGAATAGTTGGCAGTACTTGTTTTTTTGTCCACGTAAACACTTTGCTTTAGTTTTAGTACCGTGTATTTAATTGCTTATAAACATTAGGGGTATACATATAACATGATAACCTGGCTATGAACGTGATAAAATTATAGAATTGTATGGAATTTATAATTTTATCAAGTTTATCGGCAGTTTATCTCGTTATATGAATACCCGTATTATAATTTACGAAGATTAATTATATGGGAAAAATTCAAGCTACATACATACGGCAATGGAATAACGTTAAAAACAAGAATAAATACGAAATTACTGATAATTTTTGTAAGCACTGAAAATGTTATTGCGAAATTTTTTAATTAACAACGACTTAACTAAATGCGTGCATATTAAAAACACAAACTTTCATACATATAAACATATTCACATAAGCATATGCATATAGTATGTATGTATGCTTAGTATTTTATTAGACTATAGTATTTATAATTTAGTGCTTCTTTATGCGAAAACCTTCGAAATTTAAACAGCTAAAGAAATTCTGACAAAATAGATCACAGCACTTTTAGAACGACGAAAATATGAGTCAGAAGAAATTTCACACCTCAAATGAAATTATGTATATCAATTGAAACACAAAACAGCGAAGCGCTGTTGAAAGAAAAAACACCAATCAATTAATTGCTGATGCTAATTCTTGTATATTTTTTATATAAATATTTTCTACTCACTTTTTATTTGTTATTTTGTATTGAAATATTTACCTGTTACTGTCCCCCGCTAATATTTCCTTGCAGAACAACCTATGTATTTCACCCTTTGGGTATTATTTTTCATTAAAACGTTTACTGTTCGTACTTGCGATAAGGGCTTAGCTGTAAAATATTTTTATGTTTTATGTCATTATATTTTTTAGTTTTCATTTAAAATGCAAAACAAAAAATCAGAAATATGTCCTTTAAAATGCTATTTATGTAACTACTTATTAGAGTTTTGTTTGCATATCTTATTAAATAATTATTAAATAACCCAAAACAAGATTATTGTATTATTATTCTTAAAATATTTTAAGGTAGTTTCTACAGCAAATTTTTAGTATCGTAATGGTTTGAAGACTTTAAATTAGTAAATCATTCTAGAATGCATTGATTATTGAAAACACTATCAATGCTTAAATTGCGCTGTATTATCATTTCAACAGCACTTCAAAAGAGTTGTAAATTTTTACTTTATTTTTAGTCACAAATCTAAAACTGATCTTTCGAAATTTTAAAAACGTGTTAGTTCTATTTTTTACTTTTTATGGTTGTCTTTGTTAAGCGAATGGTCTCTGGAGTTGTACGTATGTATGTAGCTTCATATTTGTTGTAAAAAACAGTTTTAGATTTTTCTTTATATTCTGTCCAAATCTACATACATATGTACGTACAGGTCTATAAAATTCATTGAACTCTTTTTCTTTTAAAGTAGCTGATAGCGAATGAATATTAACCTTAAAAATNATAAAATTCATTGAACTCTTTTTCTTTTAAAGTAGCTGATAGCGAATGAAAATAAAAAAAATATTTAGCGTCACACAGGAAGTTCATTTATTCTCATACATATAAGGGCACATACATATACCATGTATGTACATATGTACGTACATGGATACTTATGCTTAAGTAGTATACACTTCTCCCAATATTATTTCTTGAGAAAGGTAAACTAGCAAAAAACCAAGATGAATATATAAATAATAAAAAAAAAACATAAACATCATGATACATATTTATAAACGTTTATTGTATTTTGAAAAATGAAATTTTACATACATACATACATATATAAAATATATAGCGAGATTCGAAGCAATTCGAAATATGGCGAGCAAAATTATTAGAAAGTGCTAAAAGCTATTGAAAATCAAAAATAAAGGAACACAAAAATAAAATAGTTGTTTCATTTTCTTAATCCGGGTTCCGTATAGGCCTCACAGACTTCTGCAGCTTTTCCTGATAAATTTCGAAATGTTGAAACGAAGTCAACTGAATGCCCATGTTAGAGGCTTCCAGGCCCAAGAAACGTGCAGTTTCGATTCCTCTCCCGCAATGGTGATAAAGGGTTAGGGTTGCCAGACGTACTGCTTTTGGGAGTAAACGTACCCCTTTTTATTGCAATGTACTCCATTTTACTCCAAAAAAAAACATCGGGAAATGTACTCTTTTTATTTTAGTTTTGTACTCAA